GGGCAGGCAAATGGGCGAGACAGCAGGCGCACAAGTGGCTATTACAGAAAAACACAGAAGGTGGGGAGAAGAATAGGAACGATGACGAGGAGGAGAGGAAGAGGAAAAGGGGAGGGGGGTCGCCGGGGACGGAGGAGGAGGGGGGTCGCCGGGGACGGAGGAGGAGGAGGTTGTGAGAACGTGGACATCGAGGAGGTGGAGCAAATAGACTGAGTAATAATGAAAGAAAAGCAACAAGAATAATAATAATAATAATAATAATATACGAAGAAGAAAAAGAAGAAGAAGAAGATTGGGGAGGAGGAGGAGGAGGAGAAGATGGTGGTGGTTGACATATGTATGAGAACCAACTTGCAATAAGCAAATATACATTTTTGCAACTGTCTTCACCAAATGAGAACGCACGGTCGACGCTCATTATCGCTGTATATATTTTCTTGGTGCAACTTTCAGTCTAGATACAGCAATAATGACCAGGCGCTCTATTCGGGTGAAGACGAACATTAACCTCCAACAGAGCATTCATTGCATTGAAGTTTTGGAAAGAAGTAAAGTATTCTCACCACTTTCGCTCGGCCAGTCAGTTCGCGTCCCACTTCCGCTAGAATCTGACTCATCAACTGGCATGGCCCACACCTGTCAAGTCCCGAACCACCATTATATTCGTATTATAATAATTATGTCATAATAACTTCATAAGTGAATTTATATGTGCTAGACACATTGTCACACACCTAAATCCATGCATGCACCTAGATTATAAAGTCTAGCACATATAAATTCACTTATAAAGTCACATATAAATGTATCCACCTAGAAAGTTGTTACTGGTGCACATTGTCACACAAAGCTATGGTCTGCCCCACACCTAGATAGATCGTGTCACACCAAAAACAAAAAAGGACGGCGTTCAAGCAGTTCTGGCTGAGTGAACAACATGGGTTCTCCGCGCTTTGCGCTTTCCTCTGCCAAGGTCAGGTGGCTTGCTGCCCGTCCCTACAGTCTTTGTCTTGGGTTCTAACACATGGGCCAAGGAGGACAAGGAGGACAAGTGGGAATAGAATGCCCAGTCATTATAGCTGTATTTCGGCCAACTTTCAGTCGAGATACAGCGCATAATGAACAGGTGCTCTATTCCGGCATTCGGGGCCCAGCAAAGAAATGGGACAAGTGGGACTGCAGGCATCTAACAAGTGGGACCAGTGGGAGACCAGCTAACAAGTGGGATAGCAGCGAACACCTGAGGGGACAAGGAGAGGACGCGTGGGACACCATCGAACTACAGTCTTCATCCGAATGCAATGCCCAGTCATTATAATAGCTGTATTTTGGGCAACTTCCAGTCCAGAAACAGCGATAATGGACATGCGTTCTATTCGCGTGAAGACGGTGGGACAGGTGGGACAGGTGGGGCAGGCAGGACAGGTGGGACAGGTGGGACAGCAGCAACTGAGTAGGTGTACCAAAAGTCAACGGAAAGGTTTGACCGAGTGAATGGAACGGTTCGCATGTTGAGCGATTCAAGATTACATCATCGGCTGGGACGTCTGGCTGCAATGCCGTGAAGAGGATGAAATCTGCCACACTGTTTTTCGTCTTTTCTTCGTTTCTCCTGTTCTTCTTTTCTTCTTTTCTTCTTTTCTTCTGTTCTTCTGTTCTTCTGTTCTTAAATGATTCACGAGTAGCAATAAATAAAGCTTTCCAAATGTGCATTGATGATCATGCGATTATTAATTTATTACATCAATAAACTGAAAAAGTTCATCTATTCGAGAGAGCAGGGGCATGTACAGGCCTCCCACATGGGCCCTATTGGCGGTAGGGGAGGCAGAGGCCTTGGTTTGTGGGCCCCAGGGCCAATGCGACACATATATTTTGGGCGGCCCGAAGACCGTCCATCATTTTCTTGGCCTCGTTTCTCTTTCCGCTGGGCTGTGCGAGTTAATTTTGTCCTTCCTGGCATTGTCCAAGCTTTGTCTGTTTCGTTTGTCAGATTCATCATTTCTGTCTGTTCCTGTTTCTGTCTATCGTCTTCACCCGCCGAATAGAACGCCCGGTCATTGTCGCCGTATTTGGGGCAACTTTCAGTCGAGATGCAGCCATAATGACCGGGCGTGGGCGTTCTACTCGGGTGAAGAAGACGCGGTAGTCTGAGCCAGAGTCGTTTCGGATTCGCTTGTCTGAACTGCCACAGGTGCCTTCTGGCTGTACGCACCACTTGCAGGCTGGTTCACCCATTTTCAACCCGTTTTCATGCAGGAGACTTTTGTCCGCGTTGGGTTGCACCTGTGGATCTTCCAATAGTGCCTGGTTCAGTCCCTTGTCCACAGGTCCAAAGGCCCACAGGTCCAACGACTCACCGGTACCCACTGGCCTACCGGTAGCTCAGTTGGTACACCCACGAACTGTTGAAATACAGACCCAAGTTTGAATCCAGATGCAATCGGACAAGTGAGAATAACTCTGACGGTCGCCCCTTTTTTGGGGGAAAAAAGATCCACAGCCACAGATCCAAGAGACAAGGATTGGACCTGTCCAGTCCTTGTCTTCTTAGGACCAGCCCAGAGGGTACAAGCAACGGGCAGCTGCGGCAACATCCGCACGTAAGAAGGAAGATGGGGAAGCAGAGGAACAGCGTCACCTCGCTGAACAGGTTTTGGGAACCTGGGTGCATCAGCAGGTATGCCTAGACGTCGAGTTGTGGGACCGAGGCTGTCCGTTCGCTTGGCCTTGGCCGATAGACCAGGATTTCAGCGGCGTGCCTCCAGGACCACCGAGGAGAGGTTAGATGAGACGGCTCTGGACCGAGGCTGGTACGACGACCAGCAGGAGGCCCAGTGGTATATAGCTGGGCGCGATCCTCAGTCAAAGTAAGATGCAGAGATCATGCGCTCATTTGGACGGCAGGCTGCTGGAGAGCAGCGTTCGGTGTGGAAGTGTTAGAGGTGTTAGAGCAGCGTTAGCGAGATAGGAGCAAAGACCGGCAAGAGTGGAGGTCTGCAGCGGAATTGGGGCAGAGGAGGACTCACCTCGGCGCTATAGCTTGGCAACTGTATACCGGCCATTGCCCGGGCTTTCACTCTGTAGTAATCTGCTACGGCTCAAGACGGTCCCTTTCATCGGTATGTATCGGTGAGAGAGAGAGAGAGAGAGAGAGAGAGAGAGAGAGAGAGAGAGAGAGAGAGAGAGAGAGAGAGAGAGAGAGAGAGAGAGAGAGAGAGAGAGAGAGAGAGAGAGAGAGAGAGAGAGAGAGATTCTTCTTCTTCTTCTTCTTCTTCTTCTTCTTCTTCTTCTTCTTCTTCTCCTCCTCCTCCTCCTCCTCCTCCCCCCCTCCATATCTACCTCCTTGAGATCGACTATGTCAGGACGATTTACCCCATGTCAGAGGTGTTTTATTGGAGACGATTATGTGAGAGAGCGAGAGAAAGAGAGAGACAGGCAGAGGGGCTGGCGGCAGGCAGGCAGAGAGACAAACTGGCAGAAAGACAGAGACAGAAACAAAGACACGCAGACAGACAGACAGAAAGGCAGGCAGGCAGGAAAGCAGTGAGGCAGGGAGGCACACAGACAAAGCAGGCACATGCGCAAGCAGCCAAGCAGTCAGGCAGCGAGGCACACAGGCAATGCTGGCATACTAGTGGGCAGGCACGCATGCATGCATGCATGCAGGCAGGCAGGCAAACAGACAAGGAGGCAGGCACACACTCCACACAGGCACGCAGAGACGCAAGCATGCAGACAGACAGACAGACAGACAGACAGACACAGAAAGACAGACAGACAGACCCCAATCTTATTCCACCACCCGCCAATCGACAAATATGCACACAAAAGAAAAAACTTGAAAAAGTTTGAAAAACAAACAACAACAACAACAACAACAACATACTTCCCCCTGTTCCGCCCAGAGCAACCCAGCCTTCAGCCAGCAGAATGGTATGGATGGGTCCCAGTTGGGAGGATGAAGGGCACATTCACACTAGGAGGGTTAACTTATTTGTGGATGTAATTGGGGTCAGATAGATCCAGGTGCGGCGGCAAATGCGGTCACCGACATTTAAGGTAGAGTGAGTGCGAGTATGCCATAGCTACTGAGCCAGCCCATACAAAGTTACAGGTATTTGTTTTCCTTTTTTTTTTTTTTTTTTTTGTTTGACAAAGTTTCTGGTCAGTTTGATGTACAGCTTCGGGAGATCCATCACAGCCACAGACCATCGATTGGTGGCCCCTGAGCATTGATGGATGACACACAAATATGAACAAATAATGGTCCCAAAAAAAGAAAACGAAAAAAAAAAAAAAAAGGCTGCCAAACTGATAATGATGAATGAATGTCCCCCCTTTCCTCTCATTAGAGGGTCCACATACACAACACACTTTTTTTTTTCTTTTTTTCTTTTTTTTCTTTTTTCTTTTATTTTTTTGACCATTTCTCGATTTATGTGTGTCATCCTTGCGCAGGGGCCATGCTAATCTTCTCTGTATCGTTCCAATTTTAACGGATGTCCCGAAGGACACACACAACACACTTCTGTTCACTCCTTTATGCCAAATTCTCTCTCTCTCTCTCTCCCCTCTCTCTCTCTCTCTCTCTCTCTCTCTCTCTCTCTCTCTCTCTCTCTCTCTCTCTCTCTCTCTCTC